TCTTGCCTGGAGAAACCCAGGGATGGCGGAGCCTGGTGGGCTGCCGTCTATGGGGTCGCATAGAGTCGGACATTACTGAGGCAACTTAACAGTATCAGCAGCAGCTGTTAAAATTGTGTTCTGGGAGAGTCTATGATCTTTTAGTATTTAGGTATGCAATAATGTCTCTTCTCTTAATTCCATTACCTAGTTTTGGAAAATATTTTAAACTGTAAAGCTATTTTCTTCTGCAGGAGCCTATTCATAGCAGCAGTATATGCAAGGATACTACTTGATGCTCAAAATGTGTGTGTGTGTTTGTCTGTGCGCACTCAGTTGTGTCCGACTATTTGAGACCCATGGACCATAGCCCTCCTCTATCCATGGGGTTCTTCAGGCAAGAGTACTGGAGTGGGTTGGCATTTCCTCCTCCAGGGGATCTTCCTGACCCAGGAGAACCCACGTCTCCCGAGTCTTCTGCACTGCAGGCAGAGTCTTTACCACTGAGCCACCAGGAAAGCCAAGTGCAAAGAACAGATACCTTCTAATATGGTAGCCAAATTTCAATGTAACTTGATGCTCAGTCAAATATTAATCATATCAAAACATAATATTTTTAAAACACCTCATGAGCTGTAAAGCTCAAAGTGTGCGACATAAATGGGATCTATGTGGTCATCTGTCTGAAGCAGCAGTATTCACTCCCTGTCATACTTAGTGTTCCTTGTCTGTAAGAGATTTTGTCCCAGGAACTTCCCTGGTGATCCAGTGGTTAAGAATCTCTGCTTCCACTGCAGGGGGCGTGGGTTCAATCCCTGGTCAGGGAACTAAGACCCCACATGGCACATGGCGCAGTAAAATAAAATAATACAATGGAACCCCATTATAATAAAAGGGAGAAGGAAAGAAATCAATGGAGAATAAAATAGTTCATACTATGAGATATAAATGCTCAAACAGCAGTCCTCCAAAGACAGCAGTGATCCATGCATAGGGTAGGTTCACCCACTGGGTGTGTCCAGACATGCCGTGCAGGAGACTCTGATACCACGAGTGCTATTGCCATTAGTGACATGATGTTCCAAAATAGTGAAGAAAACTTGGTAAAGTTCTGAAAAACTGAAGTACAGTCTTCCTTTGATTTACATGGTAGCGCATTCCTGGAAAAGTCAGTGTATATTATAACCTAGCCAAAATACCACTCATGTTATTCTTTCCCGAGTTGCTTGAGCCAGTGTTTATTTTTTTCCCCTTGAAAAGCTTTTAAGGCAACAAGTTTTCCTGAGCTCATTTTTCAGTCCTAGTCCATAGATTCTGATAGTTATGTTGTTATTCTCTGAATCTACAATTTTATTTTTAATTCCTCCATCATCAGGATGTTTTGTTTTCTTGTTTGAGTTTTTCTGAGAGGTCTGTTTTGGTGTCTACTGGTTATTCGCTTTTAGTTCTATTGGACTGTGGTCATTAGATGTGATCTGAAGTACTTAAATATTTTGAAATTTAATGAGGCTTTTCTTGTGGCTTGCTTTAGGATTGGGTTTTGTAAATTCTCAGTGTGGCTCTTGAACCAAAGGTGTAGTCTGTTTGCAGGAAAAAGCATTCTTTCCATCACTATGAGATCAGCTGAGGAGTTGTGATATATGGAATTTTTGCAGGGCACTGCACTGGGTTTTCATTGTGGCATGTGGGCTTAGTTGCCCTGTAGCATGTGGTATCTTAATTCCCCGACAGCGATCAAACCCACATCCCTTGCATTGGAAGGTGGATTCTTAACCACTAGGCCACCAGGGAAGTCACTATATGGACCTTCTATAACCACTTCTTTTCGAGGTCTAAGAGAAGTATTTTAAAGATGACCAAATAATGTGGTTTTATTGACTGCACTCCTCAAGGTTTTACTCTATGTCTTTAATGCTCTTCCTTTTTTGGCTTATACCACTGATTACTAAAGAGTGACTTCTGGCTCCAGCTAATAAGCATTGACCTCAATTTTGATATTGTGTCTTCTGCTCTCCTTTTGTTTCCATCTGTCTTGCATTTGCACATTTTTACCAATCCTCTTACTTTCAATCTTTCTCTTCTTAAAGAATATGGTTGATGTCCATTTTTAATGTAGGTGAAAAAATGATCTCTTACTACATGAGTTTATGTCATTTAAATCTGTAATAAGAGACCTGTTTGACCATTTTTGTCTTCTCATTTAATGGAGTCTCTGATTCCACTTTGCATTTACTTTCAATTCCACAAATAATTGCCTTCAAATACCTAAAATATTTTAACTAATATTTAAGCATGTTTGTTTTTGTCCTTCTTTCTTCCATCCTTAGCTGTTTTGGTATCATCTAGGTTCCTAACAGCAATATATTTTATTTTCCTCAGTCATTACTTTATGCTATATAGCTTTCATTAGCATGTACAGTAATTATATTGTTTTGTAGCCATTATTATTTAAACATATTTCTATTTTAGGTCTTTTATCTGTTTAAGTGGAGCTGATGATCACAAACAGGTCACCTACTACTAACAAGCAGAGTGCCTGGCACACGGCAGGGGCCTGACAAATAGAACTTTCAGGTATTACTAGTGCCCAGGTCAAATTTAAAAGTCACAGAGATACCCCTTTACCAAAATTGTAGACTCACAACCATGATCAATTTGTTGTTGGCAGAAGCCAACACAACATTATAAAAAAAAATTATCCTTCAATTAAAAATACATTTTAAAAAAAGAACATTGTTTATTCAGTAATTAGAGGAAAGAGGTCCCAGGATTTTTTCAACAGCTCAGTGATGTTATGGATTTAGGATCTTTTCTTTTTTCTACTCACTCATCTAAGATTGGCCTTTATCATCCATTGATTTAGGGTTAGAACTCTGGCTGTCATCTTGTTAAGCACCACAATGTAATAGAAGCATCTCAAACAGGAGGAATGGGGGCAGGAGCATAGAGGATTTTCATCTCATGCAGGTGTCTGTTTAAACCAGGGAAACAACTCAACTCACAGCTCCTCTGACAGACATTACCTGGAATCGAGTGGCTGGACCAACTCAGATCAATCCTGGCAGAGATGAGATTATCACAACTGATTAGACAAATCATGCTCCATCATTAAGGACTAGGACTCAGACAAAACAGAAAAATTGCATATTATGCTAACTTTTTTGTATGCTTTTGATAATCGTCATTGTTTGAAGTTCAGTTCAGTTGCCCAGTCATATCTGACTCTTTGCAACCCCATGAACCACAGCACACCAGGCTGTTTGAAGATTAGCCCACAATAGAGGCATAGAGAAATCAAGAGCTATCTGACTAAAGCAACAGTGTTCTGAGAAAACTCTTTGTAAATTGCCTATGCATAAAAAGGATGAATAATCACTCCTAATTACCAAATCTCACCTATTTCCAGAATTGGCTCAAGTTATAGCAACACTAGCAAGCACAGTGCAGTGAAAACATCCTGGTGTTGGAGGAGCTTGACCACAATTGAACCCTGATCCTTACTCATCACCTGTTACCTTAGGCAAGGCACATAAGCCCGCACTTCTATATAAGGTACTATATTTCCATATAAGGTACTACCTCCATATAACGTAGTTATGAGGATTAAATGAAACTGTATACAGATCCTACAGATGTCTGATGATTAATATGACTATTTTATCTGGCAGTGTGTAGCCCATGTAGGTATATGTGAATAAGAGCTGTTATAAAAGTACAATATTCCTTGCCCTCCAGATAACTAAGTGCAAGTGAGCAAGCACCTGGAAAGGAGGTGTGGCAGCCTAGGAAAGGGCATGAATACAGTTAAGGGACACTTCTTTCAGTTGATATCAGTTATATTCCCTATCAGTGGCTGAACATAAAACTTGGTTCACTTTCCTGTTGAGGACCACCTAATTAATTTGGGTTTATCATTTGAAAGTAATGGAATTTAAAAAAAACAAAAACAAAACAAGAAAACTGGTCATAGAAATTATTTAGGAAGCTCCCTGTGAATTTACTAATGTGAGGAACTATTTGTGTGGTAATTAAGAATATTTACACAGCTACTTTTAAGTTGTGTGATATATGAGGCTGATCACTGTGTAAACAAGCTCATGATCAGTTAAGTACTCATAGCCCAGGCTTGTTCCAGCACATGGCATGGATCCGTTTGTTCATTTTATGCCCGTAACAGTCCTATGTCAGTTCAGTCACTCAGTCGTGTCTGATTCTTTGTGACCCCATGGACTGCAGCATCCCAGGGTCAACAGCATTCAACAGGCCTATGAGGTAAGCACTATTATTACTGCTGTGATTTTTTGATCAGAAAATGAGTGACTGAGATTAAACGAGACCATAAAACTAATAATAGGCAAAGCCAAACTTAACAATCGCTCCAGATCCCATGGTCCTAACAGGTCATGTTCTCAGTGGAAGCAGGGCTGGGCTAATGGGCTCAACCACTGAAGCAAGGCCAAAGCTAATTAGCTTGTCTGTAAGAGGTGGCAGTTTGTCTTCAATAGGCTCTGATGATGGTAAAAAAAGAAAGTCTGCCTCCAATGTAGGAGACACGGGCTCAATCCCTGGGTCAGGAAGATCCCCTGCAGGAGGAAATGGCAACCCATTCCAGTATTCTTGCCTGGAGAATCCCATGGACAGAGGAGCCTGGCAGGCTACAGTCCATGGGGTCACAAAAGTTGAACATGACTGAGTGACTAACACTTTCACTTCCACCTCCAACTCAGGTAGAGGACATGGGTAATGCTCCATGGGGTGTTTCCACCGTGGACAGGCTGGGATCAACCATCCCATTTTTTCCTCCACAACTTGGAATGGCTGGACTGGGTAAGATTGAGGCTAGTGGATTTCATCTCTCCAACAACTGTGATGAAACCAATTAAGGTCTGAAACAAATATGAAATTTTGTTTTAGACAGAGGCAGTTCAAATCACACGGTGTCAGTAAGAAAACTTGTTCTACCATCAGAAACAGTGAAGTAGATACCAAGTGCAAGAGCAATCTTCAAGAAAGTATACATATAATTTGAAGATACTTTATTATGCTCAAAGGTTTTCCATTCCTTTTATTTATAAACTCTTACTAGTCAAAAAGAAAATAAATAATAAAAATCTGTATCTTCAGGAAACATTCAACAACATAGTTTTGCTTTATATGCTTGTCAATTTTAAATTATTACAATTTAGATACATTCAGTCATTACATGATACCAGGAAGGTCAGCCTTAAACATATCAATAATGTCTATACTGGTAAGTAAAATAATGGTAAAAATGGTATTTCAATTTCACCTAAAAAAAAAAAGATTCCAGTTTGTTATTGATGGGAATATAGACTTATCTTCTTAATCTTGGATATTAAATATTTGGACTTAAAAAAATAAATATTCCTGTTCTCTCAAATAGTGGCTGACATTGTCTTGGGAGCAGGCTGCCTAAGGAACCAGTCTCTCCACCCTCAAGAGGGAGCCAGGGGTACACCAATACAGGATCAAGGGCCCTTTGCAACATTTACCCCCAAGCCCATGGAGCTACTAGCCTTACTAAATTAAAGAGAACTGAATCTCTTTCTAAGCATCAAGGTGGCTATGTAGACGTCACTAGCAAGACCACATATGTGTACTATTGAGGAAAGGTTTTTTAAATTGCTGAATTTCCCCTTTTCCATTATTTTAAAAAATACTTTTCAGCTCTAGTGTAAAAAGGGGGAGAGATTGGACAGTTATACTTTTCTAACACCTCCATCACCATCCCCACCACCAAAAGGGACTCCATTTTTATCACATGATCTCCACCTCCACAGTAAAGAATTGAGGCAAAAAACAAAAACAAACCATGTTCTATTTCTGAACAAAGAGTTCGGCCTACCTAAATTATAATTCATTTCCTAGAAAGTCAACTTACTGGAAATTTCAATCAGTGTTCAAAAAGAATATTACCCAAACCATCCAAGGAAGACTTGTACTTTCTTGGACCAGCCACACAACCATGAAGTATGGCTTCAGTATTAGACTTGGCAACCCCAAACCTCTTTTTAAGCTGAATTGGTTGCTGTTTACTTAATTAACTTAGAATTTGCTGTTTGGATTATGCTGTCAGGTAACATAGGTTATCTAACTATTCAGCTGCGAGTGTGTATCAGGCGTGAAATCTCACATGGATGAAGAAACCTGGTGAGCCATGCTATCAGATGTGCACAGAGCACACATGTGGGTCTGAGTACAAAGGTCAAAATATTTACATGGAATGTTGACCCTGATTTAAAAAACTATTTTAAATTAATGACATCTTTACATACAATTTGTTTTATGAATAGCCTCATTTGATAATTAAAAAAATATGCTTTTCAAATATTTCATAAATATATAAAATTTCACTACACTATTTTTCTTTAAACAGGACATCTAAACTCTCTTTAGAAATCAACAAAAATATTTTTTTTTCTGTTTAAAAGTCACAGATACGATGATGCTCTGATTGGCAGGGTCTTACTGCAGGCAAGAATGGGATGCATATTCTCTTATACAACTATGCACATTTCTAGTATTTTGAGCTGTATAATTTACTCGCTGAAGATCAGTAGTATCAAAGAAAAATGAGAGATCCCATCTATATATTTACAATATGAGAGTCTTTCTTAAACTTCTTTAAAAACAGCAAGATTAGGATGGTATCTGGTCAATGTAAAGAAATATTCTGATGACAAAGAAATAAGTTAACATTACATGAACAGTTTTCTAAAATACAATTTATAGTGAAATTTAAATATAGTGATCAACTGCACATATTGGAGAAAATGGTCACATTTTCTTTAACTGTATCAGTAACATGTAAAACCTACATTTAGAATAGGATTCATTCTTGTAATCTACTGGGAAAATGCAAAGTTAGAAAACTGGCTCCAGAATTTCTGGTGAGTCCAGAAAGAAATGTCTGAGAATTTATAAATAAAATTGTCCTTTGTAATCAGTGCTTTTGGGTATGTAATCACCATTCTAACAAGGAAAGGTTTTTAGTTTCATATATAATAATTTTCAAAGCCTACGTTCCCTTATTAAACATTCATTGAGTCACTGATATGTACTCACAAAGCCTTCTCAAACTAGAACATGAAGGCCACTGGTTAAGACAGATTTTCAGTAATTCCTTTAAAGAGAGATTCTTGAGAGCACACACTGTGACTACATGTGTCTATGTAAGAGAAAATGTTGCACTTTTGGGATAGTGAGAGGACTCCACCTTACTGCTGGTCCAGGTGCATCTATGATGATCCACCCAAAGTACACCTAAGCTGTCTTGTCTGGAGCTGCTTAAGGCTGTAAACTTAGCATCTTCAATGGCTAACATGCAAATGGCAAAGGCAGTGACCACGTCTGAGACCAGCAGAAGCACTGGACGCCCATGTATATACTCTAGCTAAGACTTTCTCTAAAAAGTTCAACCTCCTCTTGGAGGTAGAGCTTTGTATTCAAGACAGCCAGACGGCTCAAAGCTCTGCTCAGAATACAGTACTGTGCACATTTTTATACTCAAACATGTGTCTGAAATAAGACTATAAAAAGATACAAAACCAACATTCAATTTTAACCAAGATTGCACATCTCTAACAGTGATATAGATTTAAAAAAAACCCTACCACCAAAATGGTAACTGATTTAATCATGCACTCTACAAAAAAAAAAGATAAAAACTTCCCATAGTTATGAATGTAACCAGCTCACTGGAACCCAATGAGTATCTGTCTCTAATTTGTCAAAAGTTGTTTTCAGCTCATTGAAGGCCACAGCAAGATCATCATTTACTATAGTTTTGTCAAAAAGATGACCATACTGACTCTCCATTATCTGGGCAGATTTAATCATTTCTTGAAAGTCGTCTTCCTACAAAAGTATTAAATAGAACTGGTTAACCAGGCAGTTTCATCACATCAGTGCAGTTATTACACAACTGGTTTATCTAATGCTGTTCTGTGTTCACTATTTCACCTCAGCCATGAAAGAAAATTACCCTCTTTAATTGTAAATTCTTCAGAAGCCGTAATTTCTAATACTCTCTATTTGCTTGTAACTAAAACTGCTCTGACAAGAGTCAAAACTCCCACCTTTCAGGATAATTAGTCACTTATCATTACAGGGATGTTCCAGTATTAAAGTAGAAGCGTTTATCCTGATGCTTTGCCTGCATTGTCCACATTTATTCATAGCAAGGAATGTATAAGAAAAACTACTTTTCCAGAGTTGGATACATTTATGAAAGGACACGTATACCAGGTCCTTCTATGTTTCAGTGCAAGTGGATGAGTGTCCTTCATGCATTTTTGAAACCAGGAAGAATTTTAGTTGGTTATATAGCAAGACCATATACATATACGTGAGTTAAACCTTTGGACGATGTTATCGTTTATTATCTTCATTGAGAAACCTTTACATTGTAAAAGACTGTAATAAATAATACAGTAATTCTTTATACTGTGACATCCTGAAGTCATTTCAGAGTCAATATCTCAAGGTCACAGAAGATTTTCACAACAGAGATTTTAATTTTAGTCTTAATCCAGAGCCCTGAGTAATTAACATCATGTAACAGTACCTACTTAGTATGGTTGTATACTGTCAGTAGTTTAGAAAAAAAAGATATTTAAAAAATACTGGGAATAGAAAACATCATATGTATTTGATACCCACAATTAATAGTTTACAGATTAATATGGACTAAGGTTAAAGATGAGTTACTTAAAAGAGGGAGGGGGAAAATGCTTCTGCCATTCTCTTAATCCTAAAGTATTATACACTGTCTTAAGGTTAAAAACAAAAAACAATCAGAGACCCTGCCAGTCATTCTAACATTAACCCACCACAGCTGTGATTTCTTTTTTAAACCTTTTATTTTGGAGTATAGCCCATCAACAATGTTGTGAAAGTTTCCGGTGCCATTTCTAACAACAGTCAAAGGAAATACAAATTGACCAATACGAGTCTATTTGTCCTATACCCCAAATGATGCTTTTTCTTTTATTATGCTATATAGGATGTTGGTACAAAAGGCAAATTATTAAATCTTCATCCAGACTATTAATGAGTAATAGCATCCAACCTGTATTTTCCCCTTTAAAAATAAGGCTAGTTGAAAACTCAGTGGTTTTTTTACATGTGCCTTCAGAAATTTTATAAGTATGCATAAAATACCTACATAAAATGCACACAATAGTCTTTGAGTCAATGTAATATGTGTAAAATGCACAAAATAGTCTTTGAGTCAATGTAATATGAAGATTCATTCACAACATATATGACTTTAATTCCTGCTTATGTATTTTCAGTGAGGCATCCTCATACTCACCGTAAAGGGCTTTGCAGCACCTTGGTCGTCTCTGCTTGAGATAATCTTTGCATTTTTTCTTGTTTCCCTCAAACGCTCTATTGATGGAGGCTTTATAAATATCACAAACGGCTTAAATTCTAGTGTCCTTAAGTGCTTCACTGTCTGCAAGGAAGGAAATACATTTTCTTTCATTTCTTCATAATATCAGGAGTAAGTTTTGTAGTAAAACTGAATTTTCTAAGGAGGAAATTCCTTAAAATTATTTCCTAATTAAGGTTAGCAGGCCTTTCACTATATTATTGTTCAATCATTTGTTGACAATTAAATGTTACTAGATAGATACCTCTGGACAAATGGTGAATGCAACCTGTCTTTAAAATGCTTTGAAATATGCCATCATTCAATCTTGAGGAGAAGCAGCTAAAAATACCAGGAAGCTAGTTCTTAGATCTAATACCCCAAAGACACTATGAGTTAATTTTCTTTACATGCAAATCTTCCAGCCGTGCCATCTAAGCCTTCTCCTGCTCTCAGAATGAGGTGTCCCTTCTCTTTCATCCTGCCTTCAAAGTCCCCTTCAGGGGCAAGTCTCCTGCTTTTAAGTCAGCACTGCTCCCGGGTAGCGAGGAGCATGGGGTGGGGGGGCGGTGATGGAGGTGGTCTGTGGTGAGACAGGAGAGTGAGCTGCTTCACCCACCTGTACCCAGTCCCCAGGGTGCCAGGTGAGCTCTGCCCGGCAGCCGTAACTCCTGTGAGCCGCCCACAGCTCTTGCCAGGATTTTACACTTCTAGGCTAATTATAGATCCAAAATCCATGAAAGAAGACCGAGAACCAAAATGTCCATTGCCAACAATTATGAACACTTATAATTCATACAAGAGAATACATTTTACATACAATGTAATATATTTTTATTTATAAAATACATAGAATAAATAAGTCATTATACTTGGCAAACACTGACTCTAATAGTTATAAACACACATCTCCAGGCTTTCTTCTAACAACATTGGCTTTTTTTTTTTTTCAGCAGAGCCTTCTCAAATTACATTTAAATGCTTTTGTCACCTTAGGAAAGGCACCTAAATGCCAAAAGTGAGTAGATTTCAGATTTACCCCATAATGAAATGCTCAGATGGGCTAGAAGTGTGTTGACTAGGTCACTTCACTTACATGAGGCTGAACATCCAACAAACAAACTTTGTTTTTAGCCAGGACAGACCGAACTGAGTCTATACTTGTGCCATAATAGTTGTTTTTATATTCACCATATTCAATAAACCTGTAGAAATTAGAATCATTTGTGAATTACATGTATATATACACATATATATAGCAGACATAATTCATATATATAAAAGATGTTTTGCTGAACATGTAATTTTCAAACTGTTTTTAATAAAGTAACTAGGTTCAAGTACTTCAGAATGTCAATTTCTAAAAAAAAAAATCTTCTATTTTACTTTTTCAATTCAGTAACACTTGCTTGTATTACACTTAAGCAGAAAGAAGTACTTTAGTCCAGCAGTACTCTAATGTTTTCCATCACCTCTTTTTCAGAGCTAATGCAATGCAATAAAACAGTGAATAAACCAAACAATAGAAACTACTGAAATTTCACTACACACGAAAGAATGACCAAGCTCAGCTTTAGCATAAGAGGAGGGACTGGCTAGTGGCTAATGGAGCCAGGACGGCTTATCACGTGCTATAAAAACTCAAAATCACTGTGCCAAACATGAAAAAAGCATTTTGATGTTTCAATAAAATCCCACAATCTTGCATTAATACACACATTGCTCTCTGATAGCCTAAAATAGTCATCCTTAAGCAAATGGAAAACCTGGGGGTAGGAGACTTAGGGCCTGCTAGAAGATATGGTATAAGCAAGATGATTAACATTATTTTTTATTTAACTTTTGAAAAGCCAGTGAGAGAGAGAGGTATGTGGCAAATGCTGGAACTGAGGCAGGAGGTAGATGGGCCCTACCCACACTCCCCATCATCCCCACCCCACCCCACCCCCCATCAGCGTAGAGATTGGGAGATTATTCCCTATTGACTGCCACTCCAGGAGGAGAACAGCAGGACAATTAAGGGAGGAGTCTGAGCCCTGCCCAGATGACATATTTCTCAAAGTCAGGAGACCTCCCTGACCATACATGTGCAAAAAAGGCTCCTTGGAGGCCAAAGGGGAGTTACGTTAAGGGATGTTCTCTACCCATATGCCTTTGTGTAGGGTCCATCTTGGCTAAGGCATGCATGTGCACACAAGGAAGGATCCTGAGATATACCAAATATGGACTGTGAACCAAGCAAATCGAAATGATTGGTCAAAGGAAACGCAGAAGAAAACCCCATAAAAGTAATTCAGACTGCCACGAGGGTGCAGCTCAGCGACGCACTCTCTCAGGCCGCTCGTGTCTGTCCGCACATCATACTGTACTCTTTTTCCTCTTAATAAATACTTCAGTTACTTCACTACTTTCTGCCTTTGTGGAAATTCTTTTCCTCAAAGCCGAAGGGCCAGGGCTGTTGTCACTGACCATTGGTCTAGTGGCTATAGATCGTATCTAGGAATCTATTACACAGTTACTAGTTTGTAAAATAAAGTTCAATCCAAATTCTATGTTAAGATTCAGTTAGTGGGGTGGGAAGATATGACAGGAATACACTAGCAACATTCCCTTACTCTTCAAAATAATCCCTACACATTCAACTTAACCAGATACACAACAGCTCTAGGTTATTGAAAAGTTAAAGGCAAAGATTAGTAATAACCACTAATTGAATTATATTTTATCAGTCTCAAATATTATTATAAAAGTGAAAATTCACTTCAAATGGAATTGCTTATAACTGCATATATGGCCACATGCTTAAAAACAGTAGTTTCATGAAAATTCTTGAAAAAACTTCTACATACTTGTTATTTTGTACATCTGTCTCAAACAAATGCTTTGAAATGAAAATATATTCAACACCATCACTCTCCTGGCTTCTTCTTGGTCTGGTGGTATCTGTGATTTAATTAAAAAGAGTTCAGAAAAGTATCTACATCAGCCACCCTAAGAGAAATACTAAAAAAGAAATTATGTATTTGATTAAAGGATTTTTCTTAAATAAGATTTAAAACTTAAAAAAGCACGTTAGCTAATAAAATATAGGAATCCCATTAATTTCGTTTTTCCACTGATACTAAAATTACATTGACTTGAAGGTGGATTAAAAATTGAATTGCATTGTGTTTATGCCATTAATCATTCTGAAGGGGTATTAATATGTTAATTAAATAAAATGGTATTTAAGCTCAAGGAAAAATTCCCTTTTTGCAAGTAATACACTTATTATCTTTTATTGATTCTTTATTCATTGAAGCAAGTTAACTGCTCACTAGGTTGAAAGGTAAACTCTGAAATTATTTTATTTTACACATGGTACATGGGGTATGCCGTTAATGTTTGCTTTACTAATCAAAGAACTCTTCATTTCTCCTTTGCAAAATTCTAAACATCTTCTTGAAATACAAGTGAACTGTGAAAAGAATCAGGAAGAAAACTCCCCTGTGCATTGAAGAGTGTGCAAGGAATCCAGGAAGGGAGAAAGCTAGAGAAGGAAATACTCCAATTCTATGAAGAAATCAACACTAATCTAAGAATAACCCCTAAGCTGTGCATATGAAGCCCAGACTCCAACCAGCCAAGTTTCAAGACGTGAACTAAGATTAGAATGGCTTCCCAGGGGACTTGGTGACTGAATCTGCCTGCCAACCAGGAGACCCAGGTTCGATCCCTGGTCAGGAAGATTCCCCTGGAGGAGGAAATAGCAACTCATTCCGGTATTCTTGCCTGGGAAATCCCATAGACAGAGGAGCCCGGTGGGCTACCGTTCATGCAGTTGCAGAAGTCTGACACGACTTAACAAACAATAACAAAGATTAGAATACACAAGCTTCAGCCTAGCCCACAAGTAGTAGAAGCACAGAACATGCCCAAACCAATGTACAGAAGGCATAGAGAGTGGAGCTGAGATCTGCACTATTCACACAAGTTGCAGACTGATCCCTTAACTGCACAAGACAGGGCAGACTCAAACCAACATAGCAAAGCTTAGAGAATTGAAGTGAGATTTAAATCATAATTTATAGAAAATGAGATAAAACTTATGGTCTAAACATAAACTAGTTGGTTACTTCCTTAATAGAAACATTACCACTTTTCAGAATATTATTGACAACATAGCATTCATAATATCCAGAATGCAGTTTTATATTATTCAACATACAAGAACTGAAAAAATATGGGCATTTATTTCTCAGAGGGAAAGATAATAGAAGGCAGCCCTACATGACTGAGAAGTTAGAACTATCAAAGACTTTAAAGCAACTACTGCAATTATGCTTCATAAGGTAAAGGAAAACACACCTGAAATGAATGAAAACATGAATTCTTAGCAAAGAAATAGAAACTATAAAGAAGAAAACAATGGAAATTTTAGAACTGAAATATATTTTACAAAAACCAACCACTAGATAGGCTCAATAGCAGAATGGAGATGACAGGGAAAATAGCCAGTGAACTTGAAGACAGATCAATAGGAATTATAAAATCTGGGCAACCAAGAGAAAGAAAATTGAAAAAAAAAAAATAAATAAATGGAGCCCTAGAGACCTGTATGAAAATGTTGACTGAAATGTCTAACAGATGTGCAGTGGGGATGCCAGAAAGACTGAAAAAGACTGAGGCTTAAAAAAGTATTTGAAGAAATAGCAGTCCCAAACTGCTAAAATCTGATTAAAGACATACATTTTACAAATTCCAGAAATCAACAAATCCCAAACAGGAAAAATTCAAAGACAATAATGCTTGGACATAGCACATCTAAACCACTCAAAGTGAAAGAAAAGTAGACAAAATCTTGAAAGCATCTAGAAAACAACAACAACAAAAACAAAATCACAGTACATACACGGGCAATAGATATGTGAGTTCAATGACTACAGATTTCTTATCATATGCATAAAACATCAATGAAATCATATCCTTAAGATACGAAAAGAACAAAACCTTTGGTCAAAATACCTTTAAGGATTAAAGGCAAAATAAAGACTTTCTTGAATGAAGGAAAACTAGTAGAATTCATCAGCAGATCTGTGCTAAAGGAAATATTCAAGGAAGTTTTTCAGACTGAAAAGAAATGTTAAGAAGGAAGCATAGCTTCAGAAATGAAGAAAGAACAGGAAGAATACATAGTTGAGTAAATATAGAAGTCTACTTTTTTCTGCTTCAGTTCTTTAAAATACATAAAACTGATTTAAAGTGAAAGTTGTATTATCTGTTGGAGTTTTCAATGTATGCAAATATAATAGATTTGACAACTACACAAAAAGAAGTGGAGGCATAGGGACTTAAATAATTGCAAGGTTTCTATATTTTACGTGAAATATCACAAAGTTACTTAAACTGTGAATGGTCAGATATATGCATACTGTAATCCCTAGAACAACCAGTAAAAAAGCAATGCAAAGAGATATAAGCAGAGAGCCACGAGGTAAATTAAAATGGAATACTAAAGAGCATTCAAATACCACCCTCACAAAGTAGACAAGGAATAAAGAAACAAAAGGAATAAACAGAAAACAAATAATAAAAGTGTGGCTTAAATCATTTCAATTCAAAAAATGCTAATTGTCTATATATTTCTCTTAAAAGGCAGAGAGCCATAGAATGGGTGAAAAAGCAAGATCCCAGTACATACTGTCTACAAGTCTACAGGAAAGACACATTAAATACAAAGACACGGATATGTTGAGAATAAACAGAAGATGACATACCATGTAAACAGTAAGCATAAGAAGGCTGACGTGGCTACTTAGGTAAGATACCTCAAGGAAAAAAAGAATATTTTAAAATGATAAAAGATAAATGTGTAACAGTTTTAAGTTTGTACATACATAGTAACAAAGCAAAATTGGACTGAGTTAAATGGAGAAGTGGACAATCTCACAACCAGAGTAAGAGATTTCAGTGCCCCTCTTCCAACAGTTGATAGGACTAGACAAAATGTCAGCACGACACATGTGATCTGACACCACTACCAACTCCCTGGGTCTAGTTAATGTCTACGTAGCATCACGTCCAGTAACAGCAGAATACACATTCTTTTCACATGTAAAATAGTAAAGACCAGAAATTAACAAAATATTTTTAGAAAACAATAAAGGAAAACAAAATTTAAAAGCCGAGTCACACTGAGGAAAAAGAGAAAATCACCAATATAAAGGATGAAAAACGGGTTGTAGGAATGGAGATTATGGAGTTAAACATCAAACAGAACACTGGTGGTATAATCAAAGCAATTTCTCTCCAAATAATCATATGACTCTGCCTAATAAAGTCTTTTACGTGCTGGGTGCTAAGTCGCTTCAGTTGTGTCCGACTCTCTTGAGACTCCATGGACTGTAGCCCACAAGGCTCCTTTGTCCATGGATTTTCCAGGCAAGAATACTGGAGTGGGTTGCCATTTCCTCCTCCAGAGGAGCTTCCCAACCATCAGCTGGCAGATTGTTTACCACTAGTGCCACCAAGGGAGCCCAAACCTATCTAAAATTCTAAAACTGCTCTTAAAAATATCTTCTTTAATTAATTAAATCATCCACACTTGATACAACGGCTTTATTTCCCACACATGTCTAATACAGTGAATCACCTGGGATGCTGGCTGTGAACACAGATTTTCAAGAATTCTGTCAGATCTCCAGAAGGAGAATCTCTCTGGAACCTCAAGGGATTCTTATTATCAGGCAAGTATGGAAAACATTGTTCTGGGGATCTTTTGACATTAGCACCTGTTTAAGAAGGATAATTACTCCTTTAGGGATTTCTTTGGGGAGTCTCAGCCCTAGAACATTTCTGGATGATGTTCATTTCTGTAACAACTTTAGATGTAGATAATAATTTAATAGATGGATACATTGAGTCCAAGGTGCTGTGACCCAATGAACTGTAGCCCACCAGGCTCCTCTGTCCATGGAATACTCCAGGCAAGAATACTGGAGTGGGTTGCCATTTCCTTCTCCAGGGAATCTTCCCTACCCAGGGACTGAACCTGGGTCTCCTGCATTGCAGGCAGATTATTTACCATCTGAACCACCGGGGAAGTCCAAGGTGCCTTGAATAATACCAAAACTACTGGGGAGGGTTACATTTGATAGACACTCTTATTAAGATTTATCCTCTTCAAAAGAAGTTAGTTTTTACTCCAGGTGGTGCTAGTGGTAAAGAACCCACCTGCCGATGCAGGAGACATAAGAAACGTAGATTCAATCCCTGGGTCAGGAAGATCCCCTGGAGGAGGGCATGGCAACCCATTCTAGTGTTCTTGCCTGGAGAAGCCCATGGACAGAGGAGCCCGGTGGGCTACAGTTCGTAGGGTTGCAAACAGTTGGACACGGCTGAAGTGACTTAGCGCACACACACACTCATTGGGCTACAGTAAAGAGGATCTGGAGCTGGAGAGGCTTGTGTAGTGTTATGTGGGAGGAAGAACATGAAACCTGGTTTCAAATCAAGTGCAAGTACTGCCTACAGAACTTCTGGGTAAGTCAAAGTATCCTTTTTATCTGTTTCCTCCTCTGTGAAATGGGGATATTGACCATCTTTTACCACTGTTGGGAGGACAAAATAAGACAAAGGCAATGAAGAAACTAGTAAATTATTAAATTAGTTTTTTCCTTTGTAATCTGTTTTCCTCTAGGATTTATCTGTACTCACTCACCTGTAAGCTTATTAATTGCTTTTCAAGATTTTCTAATGACTTGCATATTAAAATTCAGCTTTTGTGAGAGTAGTGCATAATTAAAGGAAAAAAAAAAGAAACTGTTTAATTCCATATTTCCATTTTTCCTTTACTTTCATCTCTGTTGGTAGAAATCAGCAACCCTATAACTTATGGCTGAAAATTATTATAAACAATAACTTGGAAAGATGTAGTAATGAGGTAACAGAAAACTATAATTTTAAAATAAAGTCAAACTCATCCAAAACTGGAGAACACTGCTAAGGGCAATATACAAACAACTTTCTTTTTTTACATTACTAAAAGCCAACATTTCAATCTAGTCTTTTAGATGTCTCCCTAATATCAACAAATTATTAAGTAATTAAATGACATTTATTCTGAATATCAAAATGCTTCCAGGATCATGTTTCATTTGTAAGCATGCCTTGTGAAAACCAGGTTTATAAAAACAGACCTTATTCTCTATACTGAAAAGAAGCCTACCGCCTATGGCCATGAATAGCTCATTTTACTATTTTGTCAATGACTACAATATGAAAAGTAATTAAGAAACACTTATATTACAAGAAGCCTCCTTTAGCTCTCTGTAGTTTGGTCCTTCTGGTCTTAAAGCTTGTTGAAAACTCTGGAAATTAAAGAAGTAGGATACACTTCTATTTAGAAGAAAACTTGTAAGAATTTAATGTCATACATGTACTAAAATTCACCATAAAAACTCAGTAGGGAAGCTGAAATCAACAAATACCTTGCCTGTGTACTCTGGGGCTTTCCCCTGAACTTTCAGGCCTCAGTTTCCTCCTCTGTAAAATGTGGTTAAGGTCACTCTGTCCCCCTCAAGGCTGGGGTGGAGACCAGCTGTGAATGCTGGCAGCCAGCCTGCAGCACGCATGCTGTGTAAGTGCGGGGCCAGCATGCGTAGCATCAAACAGAAGAGAACTTACGGGGCACTGTGACACCATAGTGCTGTGTGTCACTGATCAGCAGCTTTCGTTTCAGTTCATTCAAACCTACTCCAACAGGACCTGAAAGACAGGATAACAGAAATTCATCCCTCAACAAAACACCATAGAAACATTCCTACAACTGACCTGAATCCATGAGATAGACTGAAAATGTGTATCCAACTTCATATGCATCCCAAGTAAAGAGGTTATCTCTAGTCAAGTCGTACATAAGAAAAAACTAGGGAGTTACTTGTACATAAGAAAAAGCTAGGAGTTATCTGGTGGTTTTTCTACTTTTTATTTTTTAATTATTATTTTTTGTATTTCGCTTTTCTACTTTTCAAATTTAAATTCCCACCTTGCCATTAAAAAGATTAGAAATCTTTGTTTTCAGTGAAACATACTCAAGAGTGTTTGAGTACATTAACAGGTAACAGTATCCAGAAGAGCTTAAAAATATGTTCACCTTTTTAAAAAGTGGAATTACACAGTCTAGATAGGGATCCCTTCAATTTTAAACATTTTTTGATCTTAATAAAAGAAAATCTTTGAACCTTGATTTTAGGTGCAAACCTAGTTATCCATTTTAAATTTGCACAACTGTCAGCACCATGTCAAGACCCCCTGCAACCCTGTATATTCTCAGTTGGTCCTTAAGTCTTTGAAAACTTGCATAGACCTTGTGTTGTGTGCTGAGTCGCTCAGTGGTGTCTGACTCTTTGCGACCCTGTGGACTGTAGCCCACCAAGTGGAGTGGGTTGCCATGCCCTCCTCCAGGGGATCTTCCCAACCCAGGGATCGTACCCAGGTCTCCCACGTTGCGGGCGGATTCTTCACCATCTGAGCCACCGGGGAAGCACAGACCTTACATATTTAAATCAGCGAGCACATACTGAACCACCTGGAGTGAACAAGGCATATGTAAAAGCTGTGAAGAATAAGAGAAGATGCGTGAAGTCTGCCTTCCAAGAAAAATAACTAGGTTGGGAGAGTGACACGAAATGATCAGGAGACAGCAGCCAGAAAACAAAAAGCAGTTTCAAACACAAGTCTGAAATTGAAAGTCAGAAGGACACAAGCCCTGGACAGCGCTGCCATCAGGGTCTGTTTAGTGATGGTGTCACCTGCTTCCACTCTTCCCTTCAGCTGAAGCCCCAGGTGGCTGCCCCAGTGGCTCCACGGGTAAAGAACTGGCCTGCAGTGCAGAAGCCCCAGGTGGTTCTGATGCGTCCTTCAGAGCTCTGCTCAAACAACCCCTTCTCAGGTCCTGCCCCTGTGTCTCATCCTTGAGTTATCAGAGTATCCTGACATCTCCCTCATAATACTGAAAAATCATAACAAACAACTGGAGGATGCCTTGCTTAATGGCCCATCTCTACCACCAAACAGAGGCACCGTGAGAGCAGGAATCATTCTGTTGTTTCCCTTCCCCATGAGGTCAGCCCTCCAGACTGTCACTGAATGAACCTAACTTCTAGGGCTCCCAGCACCACCTCAGGCTCAGGAGACCTCAGCAACGCGGAGAACAGAGATGCCCACACACGTATTCCTCAGAGTCCTCCCCGCACACACACACATCTAGATCTGGCCACACCCCCCCAAGAGCCTACTCTCCAGGCGCACGACCGACGCCTTCTCTTGAGAACATCTCTTCCTGCGTCTTCACCACTGTTGCTTTCTGTTTCAAGCTCCTTCCCAACAGTACTCAAAAAGTTAATATTGTCACATACCTTAGAACAATAAGAATGACCAGGAAAACTCAAAAACACCTCCCCCTAACCTTATATTCTCCTCCAAGTCACTGCACACTCCTGTCCCAGCATCTCTAGGCTTTAGTCACTTCCCACCAGCATCACCCATTCTTCCTCCACCGGGAAGAAAGTCAAATGCGAACCCTTTGACAGGTCTGCACAGATCACATGTTGGGAGGCCATGTGTTTCCCATAACCTTCATTCTTGCCTCTCTCCGCACACTCCAGCTGCATGAGACCCCCCACATCCTGGAATATGTGGCGAATTCTCCTTTGTGCTGCTGGGTCCTCTCACTTTTGCAGAAACAGTCCTGTCTTTCCCTGGCCTGCTAAGTCATGCCTGTTGTTCAGGATTCAGCTTGGCTGCGGGGCTTTTCCCTAACACTTTAAACGTGGGTCGAACACTGTGTTCTTTTGCTCCCTGTACTTGCACATCAATAGATCACACTCTGTCGCAGCTGTCTACTTGTCTTTATCCTCTAACAGACTCAGCGATGTCATCTGTTTGTTCACCAATTGCTTCCTTTGGCAAAATGTAGGCACTCATTGGTTTGCTTTATTTATTTCAGTTACATTCAGTAATTACTGAGCACCTAATGGCACAGATGGTCAAGAATTTGCCTATTATGTGGGAGACCCAGGTTCGATCCCTGGGTCAGGAAGATCCCCTGGAGAAGGGGGTGGCAACCCACTCCAGTATTCTTGCCTGAAGAATTCCATGGACAGTGGAACCTGGTGGGCTGCAGTCCATGGGGTTGCAAAGAGTTGGACACGACTGAGCAACTAACCCTTCATTTTAGTCATTATGCTGTGACAGAAGTAAAACTATTTGCCAAATGAACCCAAGGCATGGGAGTTAAAGGAAGAAGTGTTTGCACCTAGAATGTCTGGATGTGCTGGTTAGATAATGTGCTCAAAGTCATAACAGAGGTTGGTGGAGCTCACATTTGAGCTTGGGTCTTGAATCTTAAGCAGAAGGAAGGGTGATGGATTTGCCTCTGCAACAGTGAGTTTGAGGGACAGAAATCCATCCCCCTAAGTTCAGGAAAGGAGTACAGTGTGATAGGAGGTGCAGGATGGGGGTCTCCCTGTGAGGGAAGCAGAAGGGAGAAAAAATGATGAACACTGATCGACTGTCTCCAAAACCCAGGCACCATGCAGGAGCTGATGCATTTTATCTCCTCTGAAGGGACCAACAACATTTTGAGTAAATGCTCAAACTTCCTCCTTTAAATAAAAACAGAAAACAAACAAGAAAAGCAAGGGGTTTTATGATGCTTTGAGGATGATGCAAACCTGATTGTATATGCTCCAAAAAAATGAAAAAGCAGCAAAGAAAACACTAAAACTTAACTAGTGGGTGGGCCCTGGCCTGCCTGCTGCCCACCAAGGCACCAAGAACTAAAGGGGGACATGAATTCACTGCTCCTTCAGCAGGTCTAAGTTCTGGAGTACTTCCCAGAGTGTGAGCTAATTTGCTGAGTGAAAGTCTTGCATTTTTTTCTTTTTTTTCTTCTACCCATGCCAAAAAACCACAGTGATTTATTTTAACTCTGGAGGAAAAAACTAGGTATGTTTGAATTAGTGGGGGGAAAGTATGCTGCTTTTTAACGTGATACCCTTAAATTTGGACTACTTTCAATTCCAGCCCTTATAACCTAACTCTTACTAGGGACCTTGCTTTATTGCATACCCACAGACCATGCCAAGAATGTGCAGTGGCAAATAATTTTAAAAATTTCCCCTAGATTAGGTTATTTGAAGACATTATCTTCATGGTGGGATACTGTGTGGGATACTCTCACAAAATAACTAAAATAGGGACATAATTTAAATCATTCTTACTACAAAATTGCCTGGCAGACCAATAAACAGCATTCTCCCTGCCACGTCCTTGAAGCAATTCTGTTATCCATACTGGTGAAGTTCTAGATGTTTTCCTCTTTTAGACCCTGACCTTAAGATCACATCTTACGTCTACACTCCTGTCCTGTTCTTCTGTTGCAGGGCATGTGCTCAGTTGCATCCAACTCTTTGCAACCCTTGGACTGCAGCCCACTGGGCTCCTCTGTCCATGGGATGCTCCAGGGAGGAATACTGGAGTGGGCTGTCATTTCCTTCTCCAGAGATTGAAGGGCATACACTCACATTTTTAGCTGACTGGTTTGTATTTAGACTACTTACACCACAGTTGGCTTAGGGATGCACACAGAGTTAGGTTCATTCATATGCCTGTAACGAGACACATTCATCTGCTTTTCCATGTACAATTTTTTTTATCACAATTGGTGAAATGCACTGACACATGTATACAAATAAGTTACTCTAGAGTTTGTGTCCAGCTGTGGTTGTTCAGGGCTTCTCTTGTGGCTCAGCTGGTAAAGAATCTGCCTGCAATGTGGGAGACCTGGGTTGGGAAGATCTCCTGGAGAAGGGAATGGCTACCCACTCCAGTATTCTGACCTGGAGAATTTCACAAACTGTATAGCCCATGGGGTTGCAAAGAGTCGGACACAACTGAGCAAGTAGTTGTTCATGCTAAAGAGAAGCAGAGAAGACAGTCTAAATAGCGCATGTTTAAATCACAGACAGCAGGCTTTGGAAAGGCAAAGATGATGACGATACAGTGTCAGGCTTGTGTCACATGGTTCACATACACCATGACTAATCTTCAAAACATCCCTGCAAGAAAGGTATTACCCTTGCTTTACAGATGAGAAAACCGAGATGATGAAAGGGCAAGTAATTTTCCCAAGATCACACATCTGGAGTGTGGCTTAGCTGGTATTCAGAAGCCTGTGTGTCTGCTCGAGAGCCCACATTCTTTCCACTCAATCCATCATCTTATCGAAAGAATGCTGACAGGACACAGGCTCAGGTAACGAGGTGCTCAGCTGTTTGTAGCTGTGACCCATAACTTCACAGAGTCTTTCACCCCATTCCAAGTTGCCTCGCACTTTAAACAGTGATGAAAAGTTATACTTGTGGAATACAAGACTCAGGCTACAAAAAAATGGCAGAAGTCAAATCCAGTGAACTCAAAACTTACCCTGTGCAGAACTTCTGAAAATTCTAAACTAAGCTTAATGAAGATGACAAGCATACCGCGTCTGGACAACATACACACGGCATGTCTATTCAGATTCTTGATTCAGGACTAAGGAAAATCAAACGGACTGATAATATCAAACGAGAAGCCAAAAAAGCACGTTAAAAAATAATTTTGGAGTTCACTAATTTGGAATGCATGTGGTAAATGTTATTCATACAGTGGATGGGCTTGCTAGCTTTAAAAACAAAGGAACGACTCTATTCAAAGCAGAAACGTAAATAAGTATCTTTTTTTTTTAATCTCATAAGAATTTAGAAAATCATTTTGCATGAAAATTCTAGAAAGAATAAAGCCATGAGTCATCTGTATTAGTTGAAATTATTGTAAAAAATACATCAAATGGAGAAGTAAGATAATTAGAAAGGTATATAACTTTTTCTTTTTTGGTTGTAATTATGATTATGTATTTTCACCCAGAATACCACAGCAGTGATAATATGTCTTGTGTTCTTCAGAAAAGCATATTACTTTCAATACTTGAATGCATTTAATTAGTAACTCCTTTCTGAGAGTAGGCGAATGTGTTGTGTGTGGTTTTATATAAAGGCTCATTCATTTCAGCCACAGAAATACAGCCCATTTGGGGGTTAATAAAATCATGCTAGTAAAATTTCTATTTAAAGCTTTACATTTAGGAAAATATGCCCATTTACTAATGTAAAAATGCCTTTATTTTTATCTTATAAAGAAAGATTTTGGAGGGTGGGGTCAAGATGATGGAGTAGGAAGACTGAGCTCATCTCCCACCATGAGCACACCAACATTAACAAATATCTATAGAGCAACTATCAATGAGAACAACCTGAAGATGGGCAGAAAAGATCTACACAACTAAAGATATAACAAGTCCACAACAAGATGGTTAGGAGTGGTGGAGACAAGGTATAGGCAAGACCCACCCCCAGGTAGGTGACCCACTAACAGGAGGAAATTTACAATTGCAGAGGTTCTCCCCAAAGAGCAACGCATCTGGGTCCCACATCCAGCTCCCTAGCCTGGGGGTCCTACATGAGAAGATGAGCCCCCGGAACTCTGGCTTTAAAGGCCAGAGAGGCTTACTTTCAGGAGAGCCAGAGAGCTGTGGGGGAATAGAGACCCCACTCTTAAAGGACAACTACAGAACCCTACACACTCTGAATCCTAGCATGGGGCAGAAATTTGAAAGGAAATCTGACGTCTTTCCCATTCTATTGTTTTCCTCTATTTCTTCACATTGTTCGTTTAAGAAGGCCTTCTTTATTCAATTGTGTATATCTTTCCCTTTCTCCTTTGCTTTTTGCTTCTCTTCTTTCCTCAGCTATTTGTAAAGCCTCCTCAGACAACCACTTTACCATCTTGCATTTCTTTTTCTCGGGGATGGCTTTGGTCACTGTCTCCTGTACAATGTTACAAATCTCTATCCATAGTTCTTCAGGCACTTTGTCTACCAGATCTAATCCCCTGAATGTATTTGTCACTTCCACTGTTTAAAATCATAAGGGATTTGACTTAGGTCTTAGTTGAATGGCCTAGTGATTTTCCCCTACTTTCTTCAATTTAAGCCTGAATTTTGCAATAAGGAGCTAATGATCTGAGCCACAGTCAGCTTCAGGTCTTGTTTTCACTGACTATATAGAGTTTCTCCATCTTGGGCTGTAAAGAATATAATAATAATAATAATAATAAAAAGAATATAATCAATCTGATTTCAGTATTGACCATCTGCTGATGTCCATGTGTAGAGTCATCTCTCGTGTTGTTGGATGAGGCTATTCTTACACTCTATGTAAGAGGCTATGATGTTCTTACATCAAAAAAATAAAAAAAGCCACGCTCTCTGACAGTGTACTGTGAAAGTTCAACCATCTACTTATTTGCTATAGCACAAAGCCTGAGTCACTGAACAGTGAATAATTATTTACTAGAACAATAATGTATTACTATTGTGAAAATCATGTTTACAGAGACCAATGAAATACGGTATTTTTTTCAAATGACACTCATGTAGTCCTACAAAGAGTTAGCATAAAGTAATTTCTAATTTGTAAATATCCAGCACAGAATTTAGTTGTAGTTTTTCTTAAGGCTGATGAATTTAATAATGTACAGCGGGATGGGTGGTACCTTACACATAAAAGGTCAATATGCTAAAAATCATAGTATTAATCTGTTAGGAAATAAACTTCTCAGAAAGAGATTCAGGTAGGTAGAGATGAGCCCAATTAGTCTTAACATACTATACACTCATCTAAAAGCCATAGTGTATGAATAAGGTAATTTTTATTTACGTCTAACAGTAAATTGTATATTGGAAAGAAATCTGTTGCTCTGACCAAGTACTATTCACTTCTGTTACTGATCTTTGAACAGGTTGGCACAAACGTGAAGACAGTATATTAGGTAGAAAGCAACTGACACAGTGCAGCTTTTTCTGTGTGTTTACCTCCAGTGTACCTGTACTGCTCAACATGACAATCCTTCTGCATTTTCTCCCAGCCGTGTTATGGTATTAGCCAGACTTGTCACTCTTACTATCCAGTGAAACACCAGAATTACTGAAGACTGCAATAAATATCCAAACTGTTTTTTGTGACCTAAAAAAAGCCACACTTACTCATTTGATTTATGGCAAAACAAATCAAATGAAATCTCTAGGTATCCCTTGGATCAGACCCATGTTATAGAAAGTCTACTTATCATATTGCAGCACTACTATATTTGCTGCCTAAGGCATAAAATAAAAACAATCAAGCTGTTTGACTCACAATCTTACAATGATCACATTAGTGGGTGGCTGGATTTTTGTGTTGGGGAGTGACAGATCTGTTTATAAAACTCAATTTAAAGTTCCCTGGGAATCAAACTATATAGAAAACATAGCAACTTAGCAGTTCATAACGAACCTTGAGAGAAATTGATTTTCTTTCCTCTGTTGCTTTCATAGTGAGAGAAAAATGCAATTAATGAAGCATCAATTTGTATGTTGCTGTCAGGAGGAGGAGGAGAAGGAAAAGAGGAGGAGGATGAAAAGAAAAAGGAAGTAGGAAGCTTGTTGAAACAGCATTATTTTTTCCAAAGCAGCTATTACACCAGACTTAGATAAGAATGACTTTTAAGTATTTGTCTCACCCTTGACTCAGGGTTATGACAAAAGTGCAATAAAACTAAAAGGCAAGATAAAACCATCCTTGAGTCTGCCTTAGCTGAGTTGAACAGAGCATGGATAATTTCTTTACTCAACAGTTTGTTTGAAAATGCAACTTTTTCAATGAGGCTACCATGATCTTTATTTAAAATGGCCAATGTGCAAGTCCCCTGATTCTACGCTGCTTTTATGTTCTACATCATTTATCACCCTCTAAGTACAATATGACTGACTTTATTATTTATTAATAATTTATTATAAATATGTTTTCTGTCTATATGTCCTTCCCAGGGAAACAATGTTTGTGCTCTTCAGTGATGGACTCACGCATCTAGAACAGTGCCAGGCACCATCTGTTCCTTCCCACACAAATCCACTGAACGAACATCAGTGTGATTTATGCCCAGAAAGGCTGCCAGAGTATAAACATGTAAGACAGACCAACAGCATAAAAAGCCAACTGTGGTTCTAATAAAGATCATATTTACCTCTTATATACAAGGATTATAATTTTAAATCCATCACACACTCACAGACTTCAATTATAACTTTGGCGTTTACAGTTGTCCATATAAAACCCTGCAGAGCAGACTCTTAATTCCCACTAACATTCAATCAACCTTCAACAAAAGTTATAGGAATTCTGATAAACATATTAACATTTACAGTTAGTCTTGACTGCTTACTTTCCTCTCTGCTTTATGTGGAAGACTTTTTGTTTTGCCAGTTTTATGGGAAAATGGTGACAGTCTTATAAAGGTCGATTTATTCAAACTACTTCCCCAAGGCAGACTTTAGGCGACATACAAGACTCCGCAGAATGGAGAAGGAATAGTACTTCATGCTCAAGCTAGAAATGTGAAATATAAAGAAAGATTTATTGTCAGTTTCCTCCTATGTCTCATAACCAGACAGAACAAGTCACAAATTGTCTGACTATCCGCAAGATGAATTTGTGCTCTTTACTGCCTTAAGCTGTGAAATGTTTTAGTAGCTTTTTAACACCAAAGCTTTCTCCCTGATCCCTTCTCCCTGCAAACACGCACTTAGTATTTGGCTTTATTACTTTACTCTTTAAAAAGTCAGGTTTTGCTAAAGATAACACTTATATAGAAAATGCACTAAATTTAGTATACTTAGTTTTAACATACTTTAGGAAAATACTTTTAAATGCAGAGGGGAATATAACAGAAACTGTAACAGAGATGTTTTAGTGGCTGAAATGTGGCTTGGAATAGCATCTTTTCAAAATGAAGAGAAAATTAAATACTTCTGATCAAGGTTCAAAGTCCCCTGTCATATTTTTGCCATGTGAACAACTTGGATAATTTTAACTTCCTGAACATTAAGTCCAAGAATTAAAATCACACAATATTATGGTAAAAAAAAAATGTAGAGATTCTGAACAGCCTTTTAATGATACTTATCTAACAGTTTCAAGGCAAACACCATTATTCCCAGTGGCTCTGCAAATACTGGGAGGAAACAAATGAGGCTGGAGGAATATGCCTATATTCTTTCTATCTCTGTACATTATGGGCTTCCCAGGTGGCACTAGTGGTAAAGAACCCGCCAGCCAATGCAGGAGACATAAGCGATGTGGGATCGATCACTGGGTCAGGAAGATCCCCTGGAGGAGGGCATGGCAAGCCACTCCAGTATTCTTGTCTGGAGAATGCCATGGACAGAGGAACCTGGCTGGCTAGAGTCCATGGGGTCACAAAGAGTTGGACACAACTGAAAACTTAGCACACACACATTATAGCATCCAATAACTTTTTTTTAAACGTAATTTTTACAATCAGGAAAGGCAAACAGTTAATGCAGGAATGAGAATTTCCAAAACTTTAATCCACTGCTGGACACTCTCTTTTAGATGATGATAAATGGCTAAATAATCTAATTTATTAAGTATTTTGAACACTGAACTTTCAAATTAGCAGAGGCCTATTCATATTTGAACATTTCAATAGTATTTTTAGCTAAGATACAAGAACTCCATTTTATTAAGACATTAGTAGGGCCAGGTATTGGTCTAAATCCATTGTAAATATTTCCTTTAGCTCTCAAACAAACCTAGAAAGCAGGTGATCTTGCTATTTTCATTTTTTAGATGAAGAAACTGCAGCCAGAGGAAATGTGAAATGTGCAGGTGTTGTATCCCCATATACTGAATCACAGAACTGAACGGGGAACTGTCCTGCCCAGAAGTCTGCTTGTCACCGTCCACACTGTCCTGCACTATACCATCATGGGACCTAATAGATGGAGATTTCTCGAGACAATACATGGATACCTTCAACAGTACCATATGGGACAAGCTGGAAGATTTTCTGAGTGGTGAGCACATAGAAGAAAGTGAATAATGGGAAATTCTTATAAGCCCAGTCTATAGAGACCACGGAGCAGAAGACAAAAGACACAGCTGAACACCACTTCCACACCCCCACCTGTGCAAGCATTCCTGATTTTAAAAGGTTTCCAAACAAACCCTTCCTTTAGTAGAAACAAGAGAAGTAGTTTGTGTGAATTTAGTATTTTAACGTGATTTTCTTTCTCTATTTCATATAGAGATACAGGATATTCTATTTGCCTGGGTATAATACATGCTTTAACATCACAAAAAAAATAAGACTAGTATTCTCCATTAAGTCTGTTCTGCTATAACATGGACTTTAAAAGTTCCGCATTATTAAAAACTATTTTTTACCAGCCCTTGTTCCCAAATAGAGAAATGAAGTGTAAGGAGCTAGAGTTTCATATAAACTTATTTTTCCAATAAAAATTTCAGAAGACTAAAAACAATAATAAACCAGTTGCTCTAGATAAATATCACTGAGCAAATTCAGAATAGATTAAGACAATAGATTGTCTACTAAGACAAAATCAGAAGTTTTAAAACCATCATTATAAGATATGCATGACAAAGAACAAAATGGAAGTGTGATGCTAAGAAAAGTAGAAAATCAAAATACTGGGTTGGCCAAAAGGTTTATTTAGGTTTTCTCATAAGGTGTTATAGAAAAACTCAAATGAACTTTCTGGTCAACTCAATAAATTGCAGCCTGTTGGCAACAATCAACAAAGAAGGCAATGGCAACTGAACCCAACCAAACAGAGCAAGGGGCTTCCCTAGGGTGTATGGGCCAAGCACTTCAGTGTCACAAGGAGCAACAGGTAAAAAGCAAAATGCAGAATCTCTGGCCTCGCCTGGGACTCCCAGATCAGAACCTGCATTTTAACAAGATTCACAAGTGACTCAAATGCCTTTTGAAGTTTGAGAAGCACTGGAGTCCAGGCTGACTTGAGTCAGGGTTGGTGACCTCGGGGATAGTGGGGGGCTCTGTCTACACCATCACGACAGGACCAGGGGACTGAAGGCTGTAGACAAAGCAGATGGTAAAAGCAAGCCCAGGAATCCTCCCTGGTGGCCGAGGGGGCTGCGGGGTGGGGGGCAGCGGAATATGTGAACAGATTGGAGGAGAGAGCAGGCAAACCTGCTAGGATGCTTTAGCAAAGTGCTGCAAACTCAAGGATCAGGAAAGTGGACCAGTCATGCCGTGTGCAATATGGTGCCCCATGTGGACAGCGTGGGGAAGGCAGAGCTGACCAGACCCTGGCCCACCCTGCCTCCAGAGAAAACGTGACTCAGGCTGGGGCTCTTGTGCACAGAGAGGCTCTCAAGAGACTCGGAACTGAACTATCACAGAATGTTAAGGCATTTGTTAGGAAAATGAATGGAGGGCCCCAAACCAAAGGAAAAAAGAGAAAAGTAGGATATTCAGGACTGCCACATAGTGTCAACACAGCCCTGATTTTGCAGATCAGAAGCAGTATTCCACAGGGAGATGAGGAACAGGCTCTGGTCTTGAACTGTCTGGGGCCGAATGGGCTCCACAGCTTAGAAGCTGGATCCAGGGCCAGTGACCGACTTCTCTCATCTGTGTGCTTGAGTTTCTTCTGTAAACCAGGGACATGAAAAGTATTTACCTAATAGCCACAGTGAGGGCTGATGAAATAATAACAGCATAGCCCTGAGCACAGTGCCTGGACTCAATACAGATCAGCCCCTGTTATGACACAGGGCCCAGGAAGGGCAGGACTTGCCTAAGAAACAAGTTAAAACTGAAAAAACAGTTGGGACAGTTGGAAAGCAGTTGGGAGCAGCAGAGAGTAAGAAAATATTACAGTTAGATCTCAGTTTGTAATAGAGAAACCTAAGTCACAAAAAGGAGTGTTTTAGTTGTTTATGCAGAAATGCAATGAATTATTTACTCAAGGCCTGGAAAACTCCAAAGAGGAAGGACTCGTTAGTGGGGAGAAATGCATAGCAAAGGAAATAAGACTCTTCACTGACTACACCACTTTGAAGCATCAACACTGAACATCCCCAGTGTGGGAGTATCTTGGAGTTAATACCCCTTTGGGGAGATGAAAGGAAAATTTCCCCCGAGAATCAGGTCTCAGAAACCTAAGGAATTCCAAGAAAGGGACAGTTAAGAGCAGTCACTGCAGGCTGAGTGATGTCAGAGGCTGAACAACTAAAATTAAAGGGAAGAAAGCCCTAGGATCTTGCCTAGAGTATAAACATACAGTGACAAGAGCACGCAGTATGTGGTTAGAAACTAAGGCACCTGGCTCACTAGACAGATCCGCATTCAACTTAGAGGTCAGGTGCCAGGAACCCAAAGATCAAGGGACAAAGGGGATTTAGGGCAAGATAAGTGCCCACAATTAAATTAGCCTCAGGACTCCCCTGGTGGTCCAGTGGTTAGAATCCACCCTCCAACGTGGGGGTTGCAGGTTTGATCCCTGTTCAGGGAACTAAGATCCCACATGCCGCGGAGTAACTACTACTGAGCTCACGCGCTGCACCTAAGACTCAATGTAGCCAAATAAATTTTAAAAATAAAATTAACTTCTTCATTAAAGATTTTATCTAGATATATTTTAGTTCAATGACTGTGGATCTAGACAATCAGTGCTCATGTAAAGCAGCAGCCAAAACACTGCAGACCATTGTGATTTGGAGCTCATAATGGAATGCTGTGATACAGATTTCTGGGAGCATTAAATTTACCTGAAAAAGTAGTTGGGGTGATGCTGTGTTTTTATTCTGTCCCAACGCCCTTTGAAACTGGGTAGGAGACATGTCAGTGAGGGCTGTGTTGTCCAGTTCTGAGGAGGCTGATTGGGAATGCCTGTCTCCACAGAGGCAAGCTGTGTATGATGGGAGTTCCAGCTTCATGCTGGTGGGGGGAAGCCTGACACAGCCTGTCTGACCCACTGATTACAATTGAAACCTCTGGACAACACACAAAAAGCAATGATCTGGGGGTTCTGGAGAAGCAAACAAAAGCAGGCAGACTGTAAAACGAAGTGAGGTCCAGAGAGGTGAGCCCCAAGGAGGTGTGGTGGTGGTTTAATCACAAAGTCGTGTCCAACTCTTGCAACCCCATGGACTGTAGCCTGCCAGGCTCCTCTGTCCATGGAATTCTCCAGGCAAGAATACTGGAGTGCGTTGCCATTTCCTTCTCCAGGGGGATCTTCCCGACCCAGGGATTAAACCCGGGTCTCCTGCATTGCAGGCAAATTCTTAACCAACTAAGCTATGAAGAGAAGCTTCCAAGGAGTGAAGTTCCCATTTTATTTTTCTTCTCTTCGTTGGCTTTGCCCAGAGGATGAGGCTCTGTCTCAGAGCTGCACCGTGGAGCAGCAGGCTGTGCAGCTGAGATCCCACAAAAGTTGTGATGACTGAGATGAACCCAAAGAAGCACAACAGAGGCTCTGAGAAACAAACTAAGATGCAAACCAATGTCTAAGTCTCTGTTGCCCCAAGGGTCATATGCATGGCACAGACCAAAAGCAGTGAAGAGCCTGGCCTACCCTGGGAGCCTAGCCAGGTTAATAGCCTGCTAAAAACAGCATAATCCAGAGGAATTTAGTAAGACCCAAATTCTATATGAAATAATGTTCAGAACATCCAAGATATGGAACAGATGATTTGACAAACAGAATAAGGTAAAGGGGAACAATTCTCAAGGAGAAATACAATCAACAGATGCCAACCCTAAGATAACCCTGATGCTGGAATCATCTAAGATGAGAGAGTGACTAAGCTTCAGGAGGTAAAAATAAACACACTTGAAATGACTGGAAACATACAGTTCTTATGAAATAAGCAAAAACTATGAAAAAGAACCAGTAATCTCCCAAATGAAGAAAATACCAGAAAGAAAAAAAACTGCTCAGTGGGCTAAACAGTAAACAGATAATGAGGAAGAGAGTCAGAGAGCTTGAGGGAAAAAAAAAAACAACAAGAAATCATCAAATTTGAACAACAGAGAAGCTCTGGGAAAAAAGTTGTAAGAACTTCTGAGACCACCTTAAAGGGTCTAACATATGTGCTACTGGAGTCTCAGAGTAGAGGGGAAAGAGGTTGGGTCAAAAAAAAAAAAAAATCTTGGGGAAAAAAAATGGCCAAAAATTTGATGAATGTCATAAATTTTCAGATTTGAGAAGTCTGGGAAATGCAGACAGGTTAAATTCAAAAGACACATCATAATCAGTGCTAAAAATCAAAGATAAGGAAAAACCTTGAAAACAACTAGAGAATACACATAGAGATAAAGTCAAAAAGTCATCAATATATTAATATCAAATAAGAAAAAAAATAATCACATAACCCGAAAGAAGGCAGGAAAGGGGAACAAAGAAAAATTTTGAAAAGTACGAGAAGTCAAACAGAAAACAGATCACAAAATATCAATAGTAGGCTTAAATCCAACCATACCAATAGTTAAATATAAATTTAATATGAACATGTATGTGTGTGCTTAGTCACTCAGTTGTGTCAGACTCTTTGCGACCCCATGGAATGTAGCCTGCCAGGCTCCTCTGTCCCTGGGGATTCTCTAGACAAGAATTCTGGAGTAGGTTGCCATGCCCTCCTCCAGGGGATCTTCCCAACCCAGGGATCAAACCCAGGTCCCCCACATTGCAGGTGGAGTCTTTACTATCTGAGCAACCACAGAAGCCCTATATTAAACTTTGAACATATCAATAAAAGACAATGTTAAATTGGATAACTAAAACAAGACCCAATACTATCCTGTCTAAAAGACACAGATGGGTTAAAGTAAAAGAAAGTGATGTACCAGGCAAACAATAAGCAAAAGAAAGCTTGAGTGGCTATGTTATATATCACATAAAGTGACTTCAGGATAATGAATATTACCAGGGATAAAAAAAGAACATTACACAATAAAAGTGACTTCACTAAGAAAACATAATACTCCTAAATGTGTATCCACCCAGCAACAGAGCTTCTAAATCTATTAAGTAAAGGTGGACTAATGTGAAAAGAGAAATAGACACATCTACAGTTAGAGAATTTAACAGTCTTCTCCCGACAGTTAACAGAGCAAGTGGACAACTAATTAATAAAAATACAGAAGATCTGAATAATAGTATCAACCTACTTGACTTACATAGTATGTATAAAACACTCTATTCAACAACAACAGAACACATTCTTTTTAAGTACACACAGACATTCAACAACACAGTCTGTATTCTGGGCTAAAAACAAAAGTTCTGACAAACTTAAAACATAATTGAAATAATACAAAGCATATTCTCTGACTATAGTGGAATTAGATAAGAAATCAATAGCCAAAAGATACCTGGATAATCCCTAAGTATCTGAAAATTAAATAGCACATATATAAACAAAGAAGAAGATCAAAGAAGTTACACTGATCAAAGAAGTTACAACAGAAATTAGAAAATATTCTGATTTTAATGATATGTTATAAAAACACAATAAATCAAAAGTTGTAGGATGCAGTGCCCAGTTAATACTTAAACATTTTTAAAGGGGTTTTGGTTCAGTGATCAAAAATTCAACTTGATAAAACTGGAAAAAGAAAAAGAAATCCAAAGAAGGCAGAGAAAGGGGCTTCCCAAGTGGCGCTAGTGGTAAAGAACCCACTTCCTGATGCAGGAGACACAGGTTTGATTCCTGGGTCAGAAAGATTCCCTAGAGGAAGGCATGGCAACCCATTCCAGTATTCTTGCTTGGAGAATCCCATGGACAGAGGAGCCTGGTGGGCCACAGTCCATACAGTCACAAAGAGTCGGACACGACTGAACTTACTTAGTACGCACACACTGCTACAGAGAGAAGCTCCAGTAAAACGCCAATCCCACAGGTATCTTGAAAGTCTCAATGTCATAAGTACAAAAAGACTACAAAGATTTCATTTTAGGGGCCAAAAGGTGTTTGAGATTTTTTTTTTTCACTTGAAAACTTCCAGCATTGTGCCCTCTGAAGTTAAATTCTGTCTCACTTCCTCAGCATCACACAAACCATCACTTACCAACCAAGACGACGAGTCTGTATTTCTCGTTCGTCTGCCGTCGGTAGGGTGTGACTTCCTCATACGTGGGCACATCGGCTGTGTCGTACTGGTCACTCCTCTTGCACTCGTACATGGATTTATTTGTTTTCTTATCTTTTCTACTAAGACGGAAACTTCTTCTAAAACCAGCTGCAAATACAAAAAACTATTTTTAGCAGTTAGAACTAAAAAAAGACACCACCTCTAAAAAAAAAATTAAAAAAAAAAAACAAACCTTCAAAGTTGGGCTGGATTTTATTTACCATAATATCATTACCAGTGCACTGAGTAATAAAAGAGAAATAGATCCTGCAAGATTTCATTAAAACAACTGATAAAAGAATCATCTAACATTTAATGATATAGTTATAAGTTTTATTTGCTTCCCAATCATAAGAGTTCTTTTCAAAAATCAGGAAACAAAATAAAGAGGTCAGATATCATAAAGAACATTTTTTCACAGACTGATGAACACAATTGTAAGAAAAAGTTAAAAGCACTGCAAAAACCTTTTAAATATAAATGATGAATTCTCCCATTCATAAATACTAGAATCTTTTAAACTGTGTTCTAAGCACAGCCTAACAACATCCCAGTGGCACAAACAGCATCTATTGTTAAAGAGAAAGAAAACTCAAGTTAGGGAGGGCAGTGTCCAAAAGGCCTCTGCCTGGGATCAGGCAGACAGAACCAGACTATCACTGACATCAAGTTACTTCACTGTTCTGAGACCCCAGTGGGTGGAGTAAATGACCAAGCCTCAGGTTCTTTTCTCCTACAGAAATTCTATGCTAATACCGAAGTGAATAGCAATTCCCTTCTCGGGGCATCTTCCTAACTCAGGGATCAAACCTGGGCCTCCTGCATTGCAGGCAGATTCCTTACTATCTAAGTCATTAGGGAAGCCCTTTATAATGTGAAGCTGACTGAAATTTGAAAATAAGTTTCCGAGCCACGATTGTGTCCTCTTATTAATACTGTGTCATCTTTTACTAAAACACCTTTTCAAGTATGTAAGTAAGTTTTCTGTCTGCTTAAACAGCTCCCTCCAGCACACTGCTGTCATTTGAAAGGTTGGCTTAGAAAAGCGAAGGCAAAAGTTCCTTGTCTCAGGCAAACCCTATTTCATTCTGCTTGTTCTTCACATAGTTATATCATTCTGGTTTAATATCTTTTCTTGAAGAGTGGTATTTACCATACACATCATTTAAGGATTCCTGGCCTAACCAACACTCTCAAGATCCAGACTTTAAAGGGAGGCAACAGTCTGCTTATTACAATATGGTAAATATTCTATATCAGTTCCATAACATAAAACAAATGCAAGCATATTTTTAAATGTATAAAAACAGATTCTCTTTAAAAAGAATACTAATCAAATCTAGTAAACAGGAAAAAATCTTTAATAAAGGTATTTTATAATAAAATGCAATAATGTGAATTTTAGAGAACACAAATAAAAATAAATATTACTATTGGATTTAAAAATTAATATTCAAAATAAAGGCAATATTAAATAATTAATGTCCATGGAGCTCTATCACTCACCTTATAGATTCACAGTTTAATAAAAATAAAAATATTAAGAATGGAGTGATAAATGATAATATGTTCCTGGAACCCACTAAGAGTAGGTCTGATCTTGAGATACTTGGATTCTTTGAGGGAGAAGATTTACAAAGAATGTGAAACAAGGAAGACAGCTGCTCTAATAATCTCTTATTAAAGACAAAAGGAAAAAGCAAACAGAATAAATGATGAAACATATCATCTTACAAAGAAAGGTGAGATTTCAGGGACAAAGAAGAGGAAATGTACCAACCTGGTCCTAGGATGAAGAAAAGATGGGTGAATTCTAAGAATCTCAGCTGCACAGAGAAGTCAAGCTTCTATGGTGAGGGTCAGAGGACAAACTGTAATTATGTTTTGTATTTTGGGGGGAAAGACTCATGAGATGTCCTGTAGGATTAGCAGGTAGAACTAAAAATTCCTTCACAATTATTCCTCATATGGAGGGAGGGGTTTCCTCAAGTCACTACAAACATCTGGCACAGAAATGGATCGAAGACATACATGCCTCATCCACCATGAATCCAAAAGTGAAAACTGGAAAAATTCCTAATCGACGAATCCCAGCTAAATCCTGAATTTCAGTGAAAATGCTTACCTAATGGAGTCTTTATGATTAACTGAAGTTTTCACCTTTGTCATAAACAATAAGAAGATAGTGGGGGAAAGAGAAAAGGGAACCAGATTTCTAACGTGAGATCTCCATGGACATGCAGAGTGAGGAGCTGGGGGTGACGGGATGTGAGCTGTAACAGCACTTGGTACAGAAAAGGTACTTAATTAAAGTAAAAGGTAAATCTCTGGTGGCTCAGGGGTAAAGAATCTGCCTGCCAATGCAGGAGATGTGGGTTCATTTCCTGGATCAGAAAGATCCCTTGGAGAAGGAAATGGCAACCCACTCCAGTACTCTTGCCTTGGAAATTCCATGGACAGAGGAGCCTGGCGGGCTATATATATATTCCATGGGGTCGCAAAAGATTCAGACATGACCTAACAACTAAAACTACGACAACAGATTTTCTAAACAGGATTTTTTTTTCTCATTTATTTTTATTAGTGGGAGGCTAATTAGTTTACAATATTGTAGTGGTTTTTGCCATACATTGACATGAATCAGCCATGGATTTACATGTATGTGTTCCCCATCCCGACCCCCCCTCCCGCCTCCCTCCCCATCCCATCCCTCTGGGTCTTCCCAGTGCACCAACCCCGAGCACTTGTCTCATGCATCCAACCTGGGCTGGAGATCTGTTTCACCCTTGATAGTATACTTGTTTCAATGCTATTCTCTCTGAACATCCCACCCTCGCCTTCTCCCACTGAGTCCCAAAGTCTGTTCTGTACATCTGTGTCTCTTTTTCTGTTTTGCATATTGGGTTATTGTTACCATCTTTTTAAATTCCATATATATGCGTTAGTATGCTGTATTAAAAATATACAAGCAGCTCCTGCAGCTCAATTCCAGAAAAATAAATGACCCAATCAAAAAATGGGCCAAAGAACTAAACAGACACTTCTCCAAAGATGACATACAGATGGCTAACAAACACACAAAAAGATGCTCAACATCACTCATTATCAGAGAAATGCAAATCAAAACCACAATGAGGTACCATTACACGCCAGTCAGAATGGCTGCTATCCAAAAGTCTACAAGCAATAAATGCTGGAGAGGGTGTGGAGGAAAGGGAACCCTCTTACACTGTTGTGGGAATGCAAATTAGTACAGCCACTATGGAGAACAGTGTGGAGATTCCTTAAAAAACTGGAAATAGAACTGCCACATGACCCAGCAATCCCACTCTTGAGCATACACACTGAGGAAACCAGATCTGAAAGAGACACGTGCACCCCAATGTTCATTGCAGCACTGTTTATAATAGCCAGGACATGGAAGCAACCTAGATGCCCATCAGCAGATGAATGGATAAGGAAGCTATGGTACATATACACAATGGAATATTACTCAGCCATTAAAAAGAATTCATTTGAATCAGTTCTAATGAGATGGATGAAACTGGAGCCCATTATACAGAGTGAAGTAAGCCAGAAAGATAAAGACCAATATAGTATACTAACGCATATATAAACTGGATTTTAAAAAGGCAACCCCTAAAATTCTACTATCGTTCCTGTTTCATTTCCTTAATATAAATTTCGACAAAGAAAGCCGGATCCGTTTGGGATTTTCACAAAGATAACCATACAAAGCCGACAAAAAGGACAAAGCACCGCGTCCATGAAGGCTCAGGGCTGGAGCAGCCCCAGAGAGGAGAGCATCAGGTTGCTGGGACCCCGCCCAGCCAGCGCATCAGGGACACTCCTGCCCTGGCCTGCACACCACGACACGGCCCTGACCTCGCTCACATGTTTTCCATGACCACGCATGCAGAATTCCCACAGGTTCTGGGCCTCAGTGTCTTGGCCCAGCGCCTTGTTTAGAAAACAAAAGGGAAAAAGTCAGCCAGATCCACCGGGATCCCATGGGTGCAGGGGCTCCTCGCTGAGTGTTAAAGCCTCAGACCTGGGTCACTGGCTTCCTTACCAACTTGGGTGACTTGCCAGTGTTTTAAAAACTTTCTGAGGCCTCATTTCTCAGCTTTAAAATGAGGATAATACTATCAACCTCGCACAGGATATTAAGGATTAAACAATTTATGTGAAGCATTTGCCCAGGACCTGGCGTATGGTAAACGCCTTACACAGTTGACGGATATGAGCACTGGTGGGACTGGGTCCCACCTAACCTGAAAGTGTCTCCAAGGCAGGAATACACTGTGTCCCTGTTACTCACATAGCACACGTCTAGCAGGAACGGGAAAAGCAAATGAAGGGGCTTCGTGTTTGAGTGATGTCATAAAAGACACAAAACATTAAATCCAGATTTAAATATGTTAACTATTAAAAGTAGCAAGGCATTTTTAAAGAGATAAAGATTCAGTGTATGTTACCTATCATTTTTTTTAAGATACTCTTTGTAGGAGTGTGCTATCTCTGTTATTACAGTTACATTTAGAGAGCATCTCTCTTTTTTTTTTGGTCCTTACTTATGGTCCCTCACTCCCTCAACACACACATGTATATATGTCACATATTTACACCACACAATAAACATGTACACTCACACACCCATACATATGGACACACATAAACATACATACACATACATGTTGTTTTGCCGTTTATGTCACTCATTCGTGTCTGACTCTTTGCGAGCCCCGCCCATGGACTGGAGCCCGCCAGGCTCCTCTGCCCATGAAATTCTCCAGAGAAGAATACTGGAGTGAGCTGCCATTTCCTCCTCCAGGGGATCTTTCCAATCCAGGGATCGAACCCACATCTCCTGTGTCTCCCACACTGTAGGCGATTCTTTCCCCACTGAGCCATCGGGAAAGCCACAAATACACATACACATACACACACACACACACACACAAAAACAGAGTCAGAAAACAAGAAAAACCCCCAACCCAGAACAACTAATAAAACAGCCAGAACAGAGGATATAAAAAAAGGTACGGAATCCAGAGTAGTTACTTGTTTCTCAGATAAAAACAAAGCCAAACCAGGTAACACAGAAG